CTCTGCAAGCTAAATTGAAAAATTAAACTGAACGTTAATAACAGACCGCTAAGTCACACATCAATAACATATTTCTTACTGTAAGCAATAATCGCGTATTTGATGAATAAGAATGCTGCAGAATTTTAACTCACAAAGGGAGCGAACCTGAAAACTAATGCACTGAAGACGAAGATAATACGAAGTACTGGTATGCTTGCAGCAGGATCGCATATACATGGTGTTGACTTGGAAGGAGTTGAAATCCACGTTTGTTTTGGCCGGAAAATAAATATACGTCAGAATCTTCAGCCGGAAACTGCACGCAGGAGGATGCTCGACTGGGGCAAACAGCTCTGTCGTTGTCCTCAGAGTTGACGATCAGGAATGATGATGCCCATCTCTCTGGTATGCTATGTTAATAGCAGTGACGTACGGATACGAAACGTGATCGCTCGCAAAAGTAGAGCAGCGAGGGCCCGGTGCGATGAAAACAGCGATAGAGCAGATAATGGCGGATCGTTTCGTAATCCTATAATCTATCAGACTTCCTGTCAGATATGCAGCGTGCAGAGTGTCATTACGGTCACGTGAAAAAGTAAGATTCGACAGGCAGCTAATCTTAACGACAGTGCGCTGTCGCATATTAGTGAGTGATACCTGAGGGCAAGTAAACGGCCACTTGGAAGGCCTTTGAAAAGATGGCGCACATACATCGAAAAGACGTCAGCTACTTACGGAATTGTGTTGTTCAGGAATGAAAGGCTACCACTGCCGCTTTTGACATGTAAATATATCAAAACCGTCGGCTGCCCGGCCGATCTCAATATTCTAGGCAGCTCTGCTATGCAATGAACAGCACAAATTAAACTTGGAAGTAAAACTTCACTGCTTCTGAATTACAATTTCAGGCTGACTAACTGCTAATGCAAAATGTTGTAGGTTTGAAACTGTTGCCCTGCAGTGAATCGAAAATCCGCGGTTCTACGATTCGTTCATTCATTTCGATAGTAAAATTGGTACTGGCATATGCAGGGAAGTCAAACCACCCCAAATTTCTTGTAAGCAATCATCGAAAGAGGAACCCATCGATTTTGCCAGCGGATGGTTGCTGCTGGCATTTGTTACCACTTGGGCTGTTTCCCGAGTGCCTTGGCCTATCAACGTGGGCGAATACGGAGAGGATCTCCAATTTTGTACTTGTGATTTATAGAAATAATGCAGGTGAATTGGCTAGCAAACTCCGATCTCCCCTGAAATTATAGCACTAATAAATGAAAACGGGGCAAGCCACAAGCTCAGCGCAATTTTTGACGGCTAGCTGTCGAGAAATTGGAATTTCTCGGAGTTTGGCAAATTGAAGCATTATATAGTGTCCTTTTGGAAAACACATGCGCCGGAACTAATGTGCATGTAAGCTTTGCTCCCATATTCTTTGTTTGGCAAGAAGCAATTGGGCTCCTTACAAATTTCCATTTCATCCCATTTATCTTAGTGGTAGCATCACTATTCAAGAGTAGTTGCTTTTTCCATTTCTTGCTTCTCGTTTTCGTCACCTGAAAAGCCGGCCCTTCTTTTTGATTTTAATAACATTAGACTATAACAATAATAATCGCAGTGTTTGCATATTTAATGGGTTTAATCTTTTACCAAATCTTTGAAAACTGCACAGGACTGAAATGTTGCAATTTGCTTGTTCATTCAGATTGATAATGCACATAGGTAAATTGTTTTTTGTGTTTTTTACTTCACTTCGTTCCGTTATAAAGGTATCGCGTTCGGAATAACTTTAACTTGTTTGCTCGTATCATTTTGTTCTCCGTTTGCGTTTTATTGTCCACTGATATAATAAAAGTTTAATAACCTAAATTTGAGGCTGAACTGTCGAAGCCGGCGACATCGACTGAAAAATGATTGGGATCAAACGGATATGTGATAAAACTATTGTGACCAGCAACCTTTGTATTGACACCGGACAATTTTTCTAATGGTGTCAAAAACTCGCATTTCGGCCACGATAAAAGGACGGGCAGAAAAGAAACGAAGACGTGAGTCTGCGATCTAGGAATCTAGACGTTAAAAATTTGGACTTCGTCTGTTTTTTTTTTGTTCGGGGACTAGTCATCCGAAGTGAAATTTGAAGTCCCGATCGAACACAGACAGGTCAAAATGAGGTAATGCAGTCAAACTCCATCTGCGGTCACATCTGTTCATGATACACTCGGCTTACTGCAGAAACATATAGTTGCACCAGTTACCCGATGTGCCCCAAAACTTTCAGTTTTTATGCGTTTTACGATTTGGTACCATACAGGTGCAAAGTCAGCAAAAACGCATATTGTGACGACCCTGCTTGCCTGTTCTATATGTTTGTGTGTGTGTATGTTCATTTGTCCGGGTGTTTAAAGTAGGAAGAGCAGTACGGGCCGTAAAGGCCCTATGAGCATCATATCAAGAAAAAGCTATAAACGGCCCGCGGGGAGGACTGTAAACAACAACCAATACAGCCAGGGGCAAAATAGGAAGACCAGTACGGGCCATACAGACCCTAACAAGATCATATTAATAAGGATTATTGTAAATATTATTCATATCCTAGTTCCGTTTCTTCAACAACAAACCTATTTTACAAAATTCTCCTTTGTTTCCCTTTTTCTTTTTCCCATCCATACCGTAACCTACCCCCACACCCCGCCCCCTCCCCCCAATGAAATTTTCATAAATACAAAAGCCAGAGCTGACATGTACTTTTGTAAAATGATTAATGCGTTTTTGTATCCAGCGACTACGGCTGGATACAAGGAGGGTAAACATGGCGGGGCATCTCCTCTTAGGGGCAGGACCAATCTCCCCTATATAATTTCTGGTTTTCTTCATTCTGTAACTTCAGCGGGGATTCGTCAGGTACAGATCTGGGTCTTCGATCTTCGGTGCGGAACTCTCTTTAGCACACCCGACTCAACATCCAGAATTTACTACAAAACGTCTGTCTCGTTGAACGGCCCCGGGTTG